TTTGCTGCTGAGCTAAATCCCCAGCCCCCTTTCTTTGCTATTTATGTCAGGTTCCTTTGGGCAGAGGGATTTGGCAGGCTCCAGACAGACCTCACAGGTCCCTGAGAGCCTCAGTCCCCTGAGGGGTTCCCAGTACTCACCAGCATCGAGCAAACCCTCCTTCTAGCCATCTGATCATTGTCCTGAGTGGGGACAGGAAAGTTGAGCCATGGACTGCTCTACCCGTATGTTGGCTGCTCAAGCCACTGTGTCTGGGTGAACCCAAGGGCACTGCTACCCATGGGCCAGGTTGCAAGTGCAGGAGAGAATGCACTGCCGTGGCACTGCATTGTGGGCTGAGGTTCGCTGCCACCATGCCTTCCCTTGAGTTACCATAGGGGCGCATGTGCCCAGCTCCAATCCTTCTTATGCCTACCCCCACGGTCCCCACAAGGGAAGGAGGGTGACAGTTATGGCAGGGGCTGGGGGAGGCCCAAGGCACAGAGGCCAGCTACAGGGGAACCCCAGCTTGTCCCTGGGAAGAGGAGAATGCAGGTGTGGGGTGGTACATGCCTCACTGTCCCACTAGACTTCATTTGTAAAACATACACTCAAAGATAAAGTTATTAAGAATTTCAAGATGGCAACTTCAGAGCATTAAACCCAAATGTGGGGCTTCTCAGAGCACAGGGCCTGGGGAGGCCACACTTGTCCTGTGCCTGTGAAGCTGCCCCTGGCTATACAGTGCAGAAATTTTCCAAATATGCTCAGGGCACTGGGCTTTACAGAGGCCCTTCACATGCTCTGTGAGGTCTAAATTATTTCCATGGCAGCATTCAGACATCATTCACCCTCTTCTTTCTCATTTACTCAGCTGAATGTTGCTGACTCATGCTACTGCAGTAGGTGGAATGCAGAAGCAGAGGATCCTGCTGTCCTCCCTCCCTTCCTCCCTCCCCTCTCCCGTCTTCCCTTTCTGTTTTTCTAATTGCTCTGGCCAGGAGTTCTAGCACAGTGTTTAAAAGAATGATGACAGTAGGCATCTCCCTGAGTCACGTTCCTAACTGTCTTGGTTACTTTTCTCTCGTTGCTGGGACAAAATACCTGACGCCCAAAATTAAGGAAGGAAAAGTTTATTTCACTTACAGTTTGTGGAGGTTTCAGTCCATACTTGGCAGATTACAAGGCAGGGTGTCACATGGCAGAGAGCTACAGCTCATGGTGGCAGAACACAGCTGAATCAACAACACACACAAGGGAGGAATGGCCTCAAGCAGCCTCTTCCTCTTCCTTACGTATGCAAACTATCCACCCCAGGGCGGGTGCAGCTCTCACACCCTTAATCAATCAACTCTAAAAGCCTGCTCCATGACCACATGAGGCTTTGGGGGGACACCCAGACACAAACCATAACACTAACCTTACAGCTGTTTGGAGACTCTGTCAGGGAGCACAGTACTCATCCTTGACTGGAAAAAGGTCCTCACCTATCCAGGAAGATCCTCCTTGCCCTCAGAGGGTGCAGCTGCAGGACGGATGCACAGCGAACAGAGGGAGAAAGGGGACCTCTCCTCTACCCCCGGCCACCCAGACCCGTAAAATCAACCCTAGTGAGAATGGGACCATGGATGTTGCCACCAGATTACTCTCACATCTTCTGTTCCTGATTTTAAGTGAAAAGTTTTTAGTCTTTCATTCCTGAGTATGATGTTAGCTCTGGGTTTTTCATAAATTCCTAATCTGTTGAGCATTTTTAGCATGAAAAATCTCAATCGTTAAAACAAAGGGGCCCTGAAATCAAGAATTTTGAGGGGTCCAAAGACCACTTTGAGACTACAGAAGATTAGCTCAGAGAAAGGGCTTTGAAGTTGGTTGTCTACCTGGTTTTGAATTGCAACTGGGCCACTTACTTGCTGCATGACCTTGGCCAAGTTACTTAACCTTTACCCGGCCCAGTTTCCTTATTTGGAAGCCAGGGATGGTAATAGTAACATGGTCTACCTCGGAAGGTCATGTACAAATTGGAATTATACACATCCGAAGTATAGAGTAAATGTTCAAAAGTGTTAGCAATTACTCAAAGAAGTGAGCCAATTTAAATACTAACTGGTAGTTTCTGTATTACTATTTTCCTAAGGTCCACTCTATATGGGTTTACTAATTGGACTTTCCTTTTGATTATTTAACACACAATCCCTCGTTTTTTCTAATTTACATTTCTGCAATTGCTTTTGTTCAAATTTGTGTCATGGTTATAATCATTCCCTTTTCAATCTATTTTAATTGCCCAGCAGTACTTTTATTGTTAGCTGTCCTACACACTATTTTGATGTCATCAGATATAAGATAGATAAGTACAGTTAGTTCAATTTACATCACATTACCAAATCTGTTGTGCAAGTAAAAATCATATTAAGGCTCTGAGGACGTGGGAGAGCTGGAATTATCTGTCCCACATGCTCTGAATCTTTTGAATAAGCCACACAGACTGAGCACAGTTGCTACAGTTCTGCTGCAGTGATATAAATACGACCTTCTACGAAGAAGCATGTCATGGCCAGAAATGAAACCCAAGGCAGCAGGCTCGATTTCAGGGTCTGCATCACTAGAATGTGCTGTCTCTCGGGTTACAGGGAAGTAAATATAGATGATGATGGGAATACATTTCACTTAACTTTGCCAATCTCTGCTTCTTTCCCAGCCAACAGAAGCTAGATCAACCAAGCTAAGTAGCTCTGCTTATCCCTTTCCTGCAAGCTTCACAAATGCCCTTTCTTTTCAAGGCTATTTTGTCTACCCTTGCTCTGGAGTTCATCCTCTTGCTGTCTTGCAAAACTGCAAGATATTTTCTTTCTGGTGATTTTATTTTATTATCTTATTTTTTGAGACAGGGTCTCACTATATAGTTCTGGCTAGCCTTAAACTCACTGTGTAACCCAGGCTGGCCTTGAACTCACAGTGATCCTCTTGCCTCAGCCTCCTGAATACTGGGATTACAGGCACATGCTACCACGCTTGGCCTCTGGTGGCTTTAATGTCTCCATTTCTACAGGCTCCTCTTCCTGATACTGACAAGTATATAACTTCTTCCTTCTTGGAATAAAAAGTCGTCAACCCTGCTCAGCCTCTGCGAGTGCATCTTTCTTCCCGTCAGTCTCTTCATCCCCTGTGCATCTGTTCACATCCATCAAGTACCACAGTTTGGCTCTGCCCACCACTCCCACCATGGTGTCCCTGACTGGCTGTCCCCAAACTGTCAAGCCTGGGGGGTTTTTTCCCATCATGCAATTTGGCCACCTTGGGCACCATGGTTGACCATTTGCTCCTTGAAACTCTCCATGCCTGGGTTTTTGATATTTTTGTGATTTTCCACACATCTTTTTAGCTCCCTACATCACAAGCTCCTCTTGTGCCGCCACTCTGGGGCACTGGCCTTGCCCATAGCTCACCCTTGGCTCACTACTTCCCATCCTCAGGCCACTTCCTGTGTGGTCTCAAGTATTCCCACAAGCCAGTGCTGGAGATCCCCCAATCTACCTCTCCAGCCCTGGCCGTTCTTGTGGTAAGACTTGTTTTGGATCTGCAAATACCTACTAGGAGCCTCCTACTGCTGTCCCACAGACATGGCAAACTAAACTGGCCACACTTCCTCCCCGTGAAACTCCTTCAATTCCTTTTACGGTAAATTGCTGCTTCCTTAAAACCCTCCTGGTGAAATCCTGGCAGTGAAGTGGGAAGAATAGCGGGCTGTCTAATTTTAGCCTGAGGCCTCAAGAGCCAACTGTATCAGAACAGTAAAGAATTGTGTGGCGCACATCAAGCAATCGTGCTTAGAAATAAGGGGAGTCACGGGATTATATTCCTGTCCCGGGAAATGGCACCACTGACCACAGAGCCATACGTTGTGGTAGAAAGTCACTGAGCCTGGTGCTGTTCTGGGCAGCTCAGCACTTAGCAAAGTAAGCTCGGGCTGGACTCACACCTTGCCAAGCCTCCGCTCCGTCATCTGCCAAACTGATACAATAATGTTGTTGTTTAGTTACTTGGATAACAGAAAAGAGAGACTCTTCAGACTCGCGAGAATCAGAAATCTTTCTAGAGCCTGATTTTATATGGGTAACACACACATAAGGAAGAAGGACCTGAGCCTGGCTCCAGAGAAAAGCCGTGACCAGTCCAAGGACAGCCTGAGACAGGGCCCTGCTCATGAGTAGTATTAAACTGAGTGTGTGATCAGTTCTGGCCAATGAGATGGAAGTACATGGGAGGCAGACTTTGGGGGAAGTTAAAGATAAAAACTCAGAGAGGAAAGAGCCTTGCATTAGCAAGTATAAGTGAAAATCCATCTGCTGAGGATAGGCTTAGGAAGACATTGGGAGGCTGAGTCCTTAGGGGCAGCCTTGAGTTCCTGCAGCTAAAAAAGAACCCTTGCTGGTGTGATGTGCATGCTTGTAATCTCAGCCCTCCAGAGGCTGAGGCAGGAGGATTGCTGAGAGCCTAAGGCCAGCCTGGGTTACATAATGAGTTCAAGGTCAGCCTAAACTACACAGCAAGACCCTGTCTCAAAAAGAAGAAAATAACCCTTATTTTTCTCCAGGATTTTTGACATGCCATCTTCAAATGTTTAACTAGCTTAAACCAATGTGAATTACACTTTCTGTTACTTATAATTCTGCATGTTCATAATCAGAACAAAACCTTGTAGTGCTGTTTGAGGCTCAAGACAAACACTGAATGTAATGTTAAGCATGTAATAAATATTTATCCTACAACCACTTACCAGTAACTTTTTTCTCCTTTCTTTTTTTTGACACAGGATCTCACTGTGTAATTCAGGCTTGTCTTTAACTCAGGCTAGCCTAGAACTTGCAGCAATTCTCCTGCCTCAGCCTTCAAATGCTGGGATTAGAGGCATGCACCACCATGCCCGTTTGGTTTTTCTCCTTTCTTTGCAGGTTTATAAAACTTTGATTTTATTTGGGCAACAACAAGCAAGAGGAAAGAGGAGATTGTCTCCAGGTCTCAGAGGAAAAGCATCAGAGGTTTCCAAATATCTTGGCGTATCTTGGTCCCCTTTGTTTCCTTCCCTTCCTTCTCCCAGGCTGCTGTTACCCAGAACGTCTGTGGCCTATGCTCCTCACATTCAATTAATCACCAGACTCTGTGGATTCTACTTCCTAGTGAGCCTTTCTTTTGTACTCTCATAGTAGCTGCCCCAGCTCCGCAGCCCTTCATTTTTGCTTCGATGACTGTGTCTTCTCATCTCTTTGCTGTCTGCTTCGTTCCTGCTCACCTCATTCTCCGAACCCCTCCTAAAGTGACCAAACTGAGCGCATTCCTCCCCCGCTTGACATTTTCCCTAGCCCCCTTCCCAGGTGGGCGGCTAGCTGGCAGTTCCTAGATTTTCCCTTTGGTGCCATTCCACATATTTGAAGGTCCCCTCTACCTTGGCCTTTCGGGGGTCCTCCTTATTTGCCTACTTCCTTGGAGGTTCAAGACATGCTGTCTCTAAGATACGCCACCTGGCATTTGAGAAAACAGCAGAAGCAGAAAAGCTATTCCGATCTTTCCCTCACCTGCTCCCTAGACCTGGAGGAGAGAAATACCCTTATCTTCGATGGCCCAGTGATGTCAAAAGGAATCTCAACAAACCAGTCTTGTGCCTGCCAGTTGATTACATTAGACATACTCTCTTTGTTCGATCCTGTTTTCCCATGTCTATCTATGCTTTCATCAAATGTAGCATGAAAACGGACAGATTTCCATGCTTCTTTGAGTTTTCATTTCTGAAGGCTTCCGTGTCACGGAAAACCCAGGTTAAACAAAGGTGCATGCTTTCCTGCTTGTTAATCTGTCATTTGTTTTGGACCGCTCAGCAGAAAGCTTAGCACTGGGCAATGAAAGTTGTTTCCTCCCGTACTCTTCCCTGCACACACTGAACCTTATTCATTCTTGTACTCTTGTACTTTTAAAGCAGGACTGCGATTGTGATCATTTGTCCACATGTCTGCCTTTCCTACAGATGTGAGTGGGTTGGTAACTTAGTCACCATTTCCTCTTTTATAACCACAGTGCCTAGTGCAGGAGGCAGCACGTTATATTCACTCAATAAAGAAATGTCTACTGGATGAAGGAATTTTAAATTGGACTGTTTGGGTAGAGATTCAGTTGGTTCTCCAGTACCG